TGAGGGTAAATACTTTTTAATGGCTTGTACCTTTGAAACAGCAAACAATGAGTCTTGACTGAAAGACAAAGGAAACTGAGTTTTCTACTAATTCTTACTATTAGCAATTCCTAAAATGGTTAAACCGTTAAAAATTCCTTTTTAAAAAAGTATGAAAGTAAGTTGTTATTTTACTGAACTTTCTGTTTCTGTCTTTCATACAGAAAGAATGTTACAGGCAACGTAGTTTCTCAACTGAAGTGGCTTGGGCATTGAGCTGAAGCTTGTTAGGGTTGCTTTTGTTCTACAGGAGATTATATGAGGAGCTGCAGGATGTGATGTCTACTGTCACAGAAATGGTATTCCTCAAGTATTACATGTTTTAAAAACAGGCTCTGAGTAGCAGTCTTGAGTCACTGTGTTTTCCCCCTCATTTTCCTTCCTGATTTTCATGTCTGGGAATTAAAATCAGGCATTGAGAAGAAGGCCTTAGGCCTCTGTTCTGCTCTGAGGAGAAGAGCCATTAGGAACTGAAAGCTCTGTCTACTGATAGAGGATATAAAATAAAGGGAGAGTGCTGGCCCTTTCCTACTCAAGTTTGTCTATTCCTTTGTGTATATGTAGGATTTTTTATTACTAAGTCACTTGTGATAGCCACAGTCTACAGTTCCTTACAGATTAGAAATAAGGTCATTGTAGCAAATAATTTCCTTTTTATTGTGTTGCTGAAGCACCTTTAATTGAACAGAAACCGTAAGTAGCAGACTCCATCAGCACAGGTGCTGAGAGGTGTGGTAACAACATAACATAAGGTGAGCTGAAGCAGTTAAAAAACTTGGTATGGTTGCATCTTTTGCATTTTAAGCATTTATTTTAATAAAGGAAGTGATTTGAAGTTCTGGTCAAACTCTGTCAGTTGAGGCTAACTTTAGCATAATGTGCTACTGCCTACTTTGAAGCATTTACTCAAAGTGCATTTTTACTGCCAAAGGTAGTAATATAACAGAGGAAAATGATGAACACTTATCTTTATAAAAATGAACCCTAATAACCTCTTAAATTCTCAGCTTTAGCTATTTGAAAAAATAAAAAAGTCTGTGCTTGCAGAGCTTTCAGTAGAAGCAACGTATGTTAATGGAGACTGAAGCCTTCAGCTGTTTGAGCAGAGTAGTTTGTTGACTTACATGTACGTCAGAAGCCAGAAGCAATTGGCTATCAAAGCATAAATAAATGTCTGCAGGGAGACACCTTACATTTCCAAAGAAGTGATGCTGTAAATGAATAGTGCATGTGGGAATGTGAGCGGAGAGGTGTTATTATGGTAGGTTGCCTATGCCTAGGAGATAGGCACCTTTGCTGGTGTCTTTGAATAGGCCTTTCAAGGTCCCCGGTGACTCACTTGAAATGTATGCATTCTGATGAGGTATAAATGATCAACCTTTTCAACTGTGTCAGCATTGCTGTGCTATTGTTATTTTTCAAACGTTAGAAATAAAATGATGAATGATTTTAGCAGTGCTCCAAACTGAGCTCTGCCTTCATTTTGGGAGAGCTTCTCATTTCCCTGGAATTTACTATGTTTCTTCACTGCATTTTATTGGAGTAGAGAAATTCATTTACAAACTTAAATACACGTTACCTTCTACACATTCAATATTTTAACACAATGTATTTCCAGACAATTACATGAAAATAATATAGTTCAATGGGGAATTGGATTGTATTTTTCACATGAGACATAAATGATGTGCCTACTTTTAGGGGTGGAATCATGTCATCCAGCAAGGAATCATGTCATCAAGGCAAATCTGCTGCCAGATGACACAGTTGTTAAATGCTGTTGCTGCAGGTTTTGCAGATCTGGAATATGGATAAAATATGGTTGTATAATATGTGGTGAAGGGGCTTTATTGAAGAGATGTCTGAAAAGTAGGGGAAGAATTATATATTTAGCATAATCCATGTTATTGTTGGAGAAAGAGTAGTTAGTTCTAAGTCCTTAGTTGGACCTGGCTAGAGAAGTGCTTTGTCAGCTGCTTGTCATATCTATAATTTTAAAAGGCAGTGGCTTTGTTTTAAGGAGATTGTATGAAATTAGACTTTTTTAATGAGCTTTTAGACTTAATGTGTATGGTATGACTTGTGAGCTGTATTTTTTCTTCCGTTGTTTCATAGGTAAACAACTGAAACTATAGCTGGTAATTGTGGATTTTGAGGTGCTTTTGATTCTTTTTAGGAGTATTCCATAATGTCTGAGGTACGTATTTTAGTGTGTGTTGTTTTTTATCAGATTTTTGAAACAGGGTTTGCAGCTTTAGAAAGAAGACTGATGAGACCCAGGAATTTCAGATGCTAATTGCTCAACTGTTGAACAATTTTCTCTTATAGCATATACTTTCTGCATTTAATCAGAATTAACTTGACACTTTGGTTCTTTCCTAAAATTTTTAATCCATGGGTAACAACGTAGCATGTTCTTTAAGCTACCTACACGGTGTTTTGGTGTTTATATGAAGGCAAAATTCATTGTCAAAGATGCTAAAAGTCTAAGTAATATAGGTATCAGTCTGCAAAATGGAGAGGATGACAAATACAGCTTTATTTCCTTCGTAGTTTTGAGCATAAATTTGCATACCTTTTTATCAAATTAAGAAGATTCTTCTGTGTACTTCACCACTAATTGGTAGTAATTCTAAGTGGAGGGGATCGTCATTGCGTTTAGAAGACAATTAAACAATGTTTAAATGAAACAGTGTTTAAATATATTTTTTTACTATTTATAATCAAATAACATCTTTATGATATTATGTTACGGCTTTATGAAAACAAATAGTAAATAATTTCAGTATGTTGATAGAATGTTGTATGTTGGTGCTATTTTATGCAACAGATTACATTAATATTAGTCTTCCTTAGTTCAGCAATTAGCGTACTTGATACTTTAGTCCAAAACAAATAATGGTTTTTATGTGTTAGAGAATTGAAGATAAATGGAGAGCTTTTTGCCAGGTAAAAATGGAATTACTGTATGGTTGGTTTGGGTTTTGCTGTGGTGGTGAGTTTTTGTATGTGTTTTGTCGCTATTTTATTTTATTTTATTTTATTTTATTTTATTTTATTTTATTTTATTTTATTTTTAATTTATTTTAATTTTAATTTATTTTAATTTATTTTAATTTTATTTTATTTTAATTTATTTTAATTTTATTTTATTTTTTACCCTTCCTGCAATTTGATTTTCATGATGCACGTGGAGTAGTCTATTCATGATGCACGTGGAGTAGTCTATTCCTTTAATTTTTACACTGGCTCTTTGTCTTCAGTCTCTCTCTTTTACTAGACTATTTTTTAATTTTATTATTTATTTATTTATTTATTTATTTAGATCTACGATGATGATATTGGTGTTGTCTTGAATGGGAGAGACTTCCTTCTAGAAATACAGTGAACCTAAATGGGTAGTGTTTTGCCCTTAAAAAATCAGTACTTGAAATGTGGAGCAAAACACTTGCATCGTGATTTTTCAACAATTGCTTCTGTTTATACTTTTCCAACTGATGATTTCTCTGACAGTATTTTATTTTTTGTGACTAGTTGTCTTGGTGGACTTGCTTATATTGACTGATGAAGTGTAGATGCAGATACTTTTTTCTCTGCTGCCTGCCCAATTGGTTCCAATTCTAAATTTACAATTTTCCTATAGTGAATTTTATTTTCCTGCTGGAGAGTAGGATGCTTGTTTGGCCTTGTATTTTTGATCACATATGCATTTGCTGAAGAAATCTCTTCTTCATTGTAATTACATGCCTTTCTCCTTTTCCAGCTACCTTTTAAAGTAACAAGAAGTCTATTCTTCCTTTCCAGAATTTTTAGTAAAAGACTTAATCCCAGCAGTTTTATTGTGAAAGCCTGTCTCTCTCTGTTTCTTCATTATGACAACATGAATTTTATTAGTAAGCTTGTAATTACTTAAATTTCACCAGGTTGGTCAAGTTCATGTGATACGTAAAAATACCACTCCAATAAAATGTTTATTTAGTTTATGATCCAGAGCAGGGTCAAGAAGATTGATGATAGCATAAAGAAGCATCAGTTGTATTTAAGATGAGGAATTTCCTAGTTCTTATTCTTCTGTAGTGACTCTATTACAGTGGCATAATACTAAAGCTGTTTCTTGAATATATAGTATTGGCACTGGGGATTAGTGTGGTATCTCTTTTTGATTCTTCATATTTTTTTGCTTTATATGGTGGTTTAAACTCTCCATTTGCTAAGGAAACACTATAGTTTGATGTATGTAATGTTTATGGATGTAACATCAATAAAAAGCCATGTTAGAAAAAGCCCTCTAGCTAATTAACATATTGAAGTGATACCTAAAGAATTAATCACTTAATGATCTAATATTTCTATATTATATTAGTCTCTGTTAGGAGAGATGGAGTCTGTCCTCTGCATGTGAGCATAGTTACTATTTCTAGGCCTAACTGATACAGAAACACCAGTCTGCTGTGTTTATAAACATTTTGGATGTGTTATGTCCTTGACATCGATTAGGCAGCTGTTGTCCTTGCAAAATCAGCTGCTTTTACATGGTAAAGGCTGATACCTCTTTCAGTGAAGATAATGCCATAATAGATTCCATAATATTTGCTGTTAAGAATTATAAGTTTGAAACTGAAGTAATTATATGTGGCACCTATAAGTATGTCCCTTACGTAAGTAAAAACTTCATTGTACTTGTATATTGCAAACTGGAATAGCATGAATTGTCTAACTAAAAATAAAACATTGAAATTCTTGTTACTCAGTTCACTTAGAATCACGCTTCTTCTCACTTCATGAAGATAAAAAGGCTTAAGCAACATCTGGCTGATATTCCTGTTGTGAACAGAAAAGCTAAACAATTCTTCTGTTTAGAAAATCTTACTGCTCCTCTGCAGCAGTAAGTTATGAATAAAAAATTGTTTCAGAAGACAATATTTAGTTGTTGTTTTGTTTGTTTGTATGTTTTGCTACAGGTTATTAATGCTGCTTTAGCTCTTTCTGCCAGACCAAAAAGTCAAGTTGTGAAAAACAACATGGAGATGTATAGGAGTACATGGGAGAATCACATCCATGTTCTTACTGAAGCTGTGGATGATATAACAAGTATTGATGATTTTCTGGCTGTATCAGGTACATTAATTTTCAGAATCTGATTGTTCTTTTATGTACTTTGAAAAGTAACTCTCCTATGTAAAGTTTCCAACAGGCAACAAATAGAAGATTAGATCTTGTAAGGTTTTGTGAAACTGTATGTATAAATTGTTCCAGCATGGTAGGTATTTTTAGTCTCCACAGCATAGAACTCGGTAGAGGTGATCTGAACAAACTGTAGGGGTATGAAGCAGAACTGCTATATTGTAAGGGTTTAAGGGTTACATTTATCCAGTCTCACAGGTTGATCTGCCTCGAACTTTTAAAATGCTCTGTGCATCTGTGAGAAGTCTTCTGTAGGAAGGAAGCATGTAACAGTGTGCATAAACACAGAGGAGGAGATTTCTCTGGCTGTTGTCCCCCCCTATGTATCATTATTCAAAACAGTGCAGTTCAATGTTTAGTAAATCCAAAGACATATAAAAGCTGTTGTAATTTACCAGAATACCACCAACAGAAATTTTCTAGGGACACTTGATAACTTCATTAATGAATTTTGAATTCAAGGGAGAAAAGAATGGGATGCTAAATCACATAGATGTGATCTGATGTGGTCTGGATAACATTGATAGATGCTTGAGCTTTTCCTCGAGCTGAGCAGGTACCAAATTTCCAAACATCCAGTGTTGTTCTAGATGTGCATATAAATTTTGGAATGCAAATACAATCTGGTTCTACAGTAATTCTTGTGATAGACATGGAAATAAGAAATCATATGGGCTACTTTTTTAAGTTGATATATTTTAAAACACCTCATAAACAGAACAGATGCACTGTAGCATTTCCAGAAACTTTAAAGCTATACATATTTGTCAAGAGGAATGTAACTATAAATTCCTTCACTGAAGGAGCCTTTAATATTAGTAAACTATTTCTTGAAACAAAGATTGTCTTCAACATTGAAATGGGAGAACAGCTGTTCTACTTCCTGCACTTGAAAGACCAAAATTCCACACTTCTGACTTGCCTTAGTGTGTTGTGTAACATGGAAAAGAATGAAAAGTTTGTGTTATCTTCAATTCATGTGGTTCAATACATTTTGTTTCCTTATGGCTAGTATGACAACTGTTTGCCTATTCTTCTCTGGGCAACTTCCTAGAGCTTAATTCCTTTTGCTAGTATTATGTGCTTTATGTAGCAGTGCAGAACAAGAGTTCTGTAGGTGTCAGTAGTTTGAAACCATGGTAAGTGAATTCAGAGCTGAGTGCATTCTGAAGTTATTTGTTAATTAAAAATGAAGGTGTACTCCTGTCAAAAACATAGGATATTTGTTTCTCTAAAGATGACTTGTATATTTTCAAATACGACATCTTTACTGGGGTAGCTGGAAACAGCTGGACTAAGTCCCCATAACTGAGTGGCACTTCTCTTGTGAGTAGGACGTGAATACTGCAGTGCAAAAACCGTATGCAGAGATGACTGCTCAGGTCTGGATAAACAGTTTGTTAGTTTTGCCTCAGAGCAGCAGACTTATCTTTGCTTTACGTTAGTCCATTTGAATACCTAACCAAGTGATTCAGATCCGAATGTAGAAGAATTTACTGCAAAATTGTGTGAATGGATTATTTGTGGAGCTACTGTCCTTACATGCATCTCAGTACAGAAAAACATAACCTGAGATTGTTTTCAACTGTAATTTAGCCTTTAGTAGAAGCCAATTATAAACGATCTTGTTTCGTGTAGGGTCCAGGAGGTTGCAAATCTGAAATTTTTGCAAGTAATGCTAGAGCCATTAGTAAAGCAAAGAAACAGGTCAATTCTCTAAATTGCTGATGTATTAATTATGCAAATCTCTTTACCCTACTATGAAATACCCTGAGTTTAGAATTCTTTCTTTAAAATTATTTTCTCTTTAAAATTCATTGAACTAAACGTTTGACGACAAAACTGGGATTCATTTAAATAGCATATTTCAGATATTTTGAAAAAATTCATTGGCCTTAAGAATAAAATTAGAAACTACATTAATGCATGGGAAAAAAATCTCTCATTGGGCAGCTACTCATTTCAGGGTTAACTCATCAATTTTTGGTCTGTTCTCTATTACTTGAGTACAATTGAATGATTTAGTGTTTGACAGTGAATAAAAGCAGAAACTGTAACTTAAGTAGCAGTGATGAGTCGGCCTGCATATTAAGAGGTCCTAAGAACTAAACATTCATAGAGTTATTCTAGATAGGACATGTAAAATGTTTTCTGTAAGCTTCGGTAGGGCATTTCTGCACACCGTATTTCATGTCCATCTTCAAGTGTCATGTTTTTTCTTACATGATCTGCTGAGCAGATGCTTCCTTATGGTAGTATAATTTATTTCCTTTGGGAAGACTTCTTTTCAGCTCATGTACATAGAGCTAATTATTAAGACTAATTAGAAGGAATGATGCAAGCTACTCGGTACAATCATAAGTGTATTAGCACTGATACTGTGCTCTGAGAGTAAAACATGTTGCTCTATCTAAATAGAAAAGTTAAATGAAAGTAAAGTAAAGGATGTTACCTAACTCTTTGGGAAATTACTTGGTCATTAGGAAAGATAACGAAGGTTGAATGTTTTGTTTCATGTAAGAGGAATGAATACAAGAATAGATTTATGATGGACGTGTTTTTTCTACAGAAGAATTATTTTCTAAGTTAAATGCCCACATGGATGTACGGGGGGGAAAATGTTTTTTAAATATTAGTTCAAAATTAATAGTGTGCTGATATACTGTATCAGATATAGGCAGTTGGTTTTAATGGCTGAATTTGCAGGTGTAACTGCATCTTCCAGGATGGCAATGGAAGTGGGTAGTCTACGTCCAAAAATATCATACACTTTTTTTTCTAAATATTGTGAACACACCTCTAGTAATTTTGGTAAATGAGGATTCTACATCATTAACAGAATTGTCTACTTAAGAGTTTATTTTATATTGTATCTCTGGTTGCTTGATAGGTCAGATTTTTATACTGAATGCACAAAGTACTTTCCAAACTTCGTAAGAATTGGGAGTTTCTATTTTGTCGTTTAGTTTATGTACCTCCTTTTCACACAGTGTCACCCGAGGCTTGGATTGCAACTCATTGTATAAAATGATGATACGTTTTTTGTGGGTTACTGATGATTCGGAAGGTAAATTGAATACTTATAGGTGTGTTTCTGTTGTGGACGCTTCTAAGGTACAATATAACTCTCTTTAAAGACACTGCAAAATCTTTCAGCAGAACTCAGAAGCAACTGGGTTAGTCCCTATGTTTCTTTATTCCAGGTTGTTATTTTTCTGTCTTAAAAATAAGCTGAATATGGAAAAATATATTTGAGAGGATTGGTAGGAATTGCAAATGGTCCCTGCAAAAATACCTTGTTACTCTTCACAAACCAGCTATGGGGTTGCTGAAACAAAGCATATGTACAGAGAAACTGTCTCCTAATGTAGTACATGCGTGTCCTTTTCTGGTGTAGCACAGGGGGAAAAGGAAGTATTCTGTGGCAGATAAGAAAACCTGAAGGGAACTGTGACCATATGAAAATGGGAGGGGGGGGAATGCTAATAACTGCCATCTGTTTTAAGTACTAATTAGTTTCCTTTTCTGATTCACCTATCCTCATGTTTTGTTTTGTTTTTTCCTTTTGTTTCAGTTCTGTTTTATTATTTTATTTGGATGTGATATTTGGTTTAAAGGAAAATAATGCTACAGAAGACAGGTGAAATTAGGTCTTTATATTTGAGGAAGAGGTCTGACTGCAAATAGCCAATTTAAATGAAGGTCTTTTCTTTTTAAAGGAAAGCAAGAGCTAACGAGATGTGTAAAAAATGTCATTGTGATTATAAAACATGATAAATGATGAGATCATTTGTTCATAGATCTTTTACGCTATACCTACCAAGAACAGAGAATCAGTGTCAGCCTATCAGTTTTGGATAGTTAATTAAAATAAGGAAAAATGTGAGTATTAATCTTTATGATCACTGACATTAAGTTTAAAAAAATACTGTCATCCGTTTATCATGACAGTGTGAGGTTTTTATACTCCTATAATGGAACCAAAACATGTTACTTCAACCAGTGCATGAATTTCCAGGAAACTAGTTATGGTATGCTCGTAATTTTGTTTATACTTGTAAATTTTAAGTTTTATCCTCAACTCTGGTGTCTCAAATTGAATATTCAGTGAGTATTCATATTTCTTGATGTAGTTAGGGTGAAAGTGTAGTTTGGATTTTCATTTTCTAAAGTTAATTCTTTATTCCAAATTATGTGAATAAACTTCAGATACAGATGGAAAAAAAAAAAAAAGAAATGTCAGTATTTCCTTTTTATATGTACGTTTTCCTTTCTTGATTATAATGTGGAATTACAATCACTGGAAAACACTGTAATTAAGTATTTTAACATTATTAAGTATTAGAAAACCAGTAAAAGAGGAATTAGATCTTATAGTCCAAGAGTTAACTTCACTTCTACAATGGTCATAGGTAAGAAAAGCATCAAATGTGTTTTTATATATATTAAAATCATTAGGATCTGTTTTTCCTCGTTTTCTTCAAGAGCTTGCATTACAGACCCTTGTGCTGCTTTTCTGTCCTCTGTGTGCGTCCTTTCCCCAAAACTATGATAATTTTGTCTCATGAACCTTCTTTCTCCAGCCTCTCACGCTTTCCATCTCAGAATTTTGGACTGTCGTATTTGGAATACAGCTACGCTAGCCACATTTTTTAAAAATCCTTTTATATTAGCTCCTCTATTGCCAAATTTGAGGTTTCTAATTTTCATAAACACAAGTCTCTTTTAATTTTAGTTTATCTTGTTCTTCATCCTTCATCTGTGATGAAACGTTCTTCTTGATGCACTGCATGTGAATGACATTCTCTCCTGTTGTATACTGGGTGTAATGTCTGTTGTCTGCCTTTTCAAGTACTTCCTTAAAAGACAATTTGTCTAAAGTGCATTTTGACTTCTGCAATCTAACCCAAACTTTAGGCTAAGTTGATTATTTT